TTCCTAGAATCCCTTCGAAGTCAATGGCACCTCTCCATGTCATGCTACAAGACCAGCCACCAGGCTCATCTTAACCCATTGTGGCATTGTCTACTGGGCACACTTCACTAAGTAAACTAAAAGAAGGTTCATTCTTATTTGCGAAAACAAAATCTCCACTGATAGTGCTAATCAGTGACACGACAGAGCATAGGTCCGTTTTCAGCTCACTAGCGGGCCGTCCTGCTGGCTGACCTCTCTATAGAAAATGAACCGGCCCAAGGCCCAATAGACCTGCAAAGTGCAAACACAGAACAACCTGGATGGTGCCCTCTCGCCGTCTGGCTATGGTCACCGATAAAGATGTGCATGCAGCCCGTGGGCCAAAGGCCCGGCCCAAAGCACGGTTATTGGGCCTGACCCGAGCACGGCACGGCCCGAACCCTAACCGGGCCCGTGCCGGCCTGAAGCCCGTAGCAGGCCGGGCTTGGGCTGAGGCCTCGGCCCGCCGGGCGGCACGGCATGGCCCGTTTTACAACGGCCGGCCCGGTGGAGGCCCGTTTTAATTTATTGAGCTGGTCGTACTATTTTCCTTTCTAGGGTTTTATCTCACGAGGTGTGAGTTTTACCTAGAATGGTTTTTAATGAGGCGGCATTGCATAAAAAGCTCAAATATTTTGTCATCTGGTGTTTCTGTGATTGTTAAATATGAATATGTGAACCTGTGATTGTGCTGTTAAATATGGTGTTTACTGTGTAACGGGCTATGGACCGGCCCGATGGACCAGTGGGCCGCGGGCTCAACGGGCTGGCACGGCCCGATATTCGGCCCACGGACCGTGCCTGGGCCATCCGACAGGCACGGTGGACTGTTCAGGCACGGCCCGGTGGCCCGGCGGGCCAAAAGGGCCCGAGCCCGATCGGGCCGTGCCTGGCCCGGGCTCGTGCCGTGCCGGCCCGTTGCTCATCTTTAGTCACCGAGTTATCAATGGGCAATACTACTGGTACAAATGTTTGTTTTCTGAGACAAAAGACACGTCTAGGCCGATTCCCATGAGTTTACTGTTTGATATGAATACCACATCAATTTACTGTTTGATATTTTTATTTTATTTTTTATTGATTCGATTGTTACTTTTTTTTTACCTTTGGAGTGGACCATTTTAAATTGCACTTGCTGTTTGAGACTCTGTTTATGTTTCAGACACATCAAATGAGGAAGATAAACACTCTCTTGTGTCTGTCTGTTCCTGCGTGATGACTACCTTGACAATTTTCCAGACACTGGCGTGACTTTGTATGTTCACATTTGGAGTGGGCCATGTCAAAAAGGCTAGCAAAAAGAAACAGCACTACTTCCTTCTGAAGTTCTGAGTCCTGATACCGAGCAGCAAGTGCTCCGACTGTTGCTTTTCTTCTCAACCGCATTTACTCATAATATTTCACGCCATATTTTAGAACCTTTTTTTTTGTTACTTTGTTATTGTTTCGATTGTGCTCGTTTTGGCCATCATAGTTGGCAATCACAAGATTCCTCCGGCTTTCGCATCCTATTGGCTGCTTGGGGGCTGAGAAGTCCAAGATTGCAGCTCCTAGAACCCCCAGTGGCGTAGAAGTGCCTTTGGTGAAGAGGAGATTCATGGAGCCCACAACCACAAGCATGCGAGATCTCCAGTTTCAATCATGTGGGTTTCCATGAGTGACATGTTAGTGGGCTCCACATGGATTATGCATTCGGATTCGTAATGTTCAGAATTCAGAATATTGTTCTCCTGGCTGAAACTTATTCTCAACATCAGCCGATTCTCAAAGAGATACTATCTACGTCCCAAAAACAGTTGATTGTACTAAGTCAAATTATCTTAAATATGACATTTTATAGAGAAGAGTATTAACATTTATGACACGAAATAGTATGTTATGAAAATATATTTTAATGATGAATTTAATGATATTTATTTGATATCATAAATTTTGCTAAGATCTTGTATAAATTTGGTCAAACGTACAATAAATTGGCGCAGAAGAAAACTAGAAGTGCAATCTTTTTGGGATTGATCGATGTAGTATTAAATAGCATGGTTGAATTAATCTTGTCCTTTTCATGGGTATTTGCAATTTACTTCAACACAATTTTCTAAGCCCATTAGTATGCTTTCGAAATCTGTTTTTTTATGCTCTTGAACTTATATAAAATCATTGGATCGTTTTCTTCTTTGCCTATATGCTTGTGGACTTGTGGTAGATACTTCTAACGAATTGGGGATAGCAACACAGGGAGGGGGCAAAGAGTCACCAATGTTTCATTCATTCAAGGAAAAAAAACATCGAATGTGCAGAATAACAATAAGAAACGAAAGAAGCGACATACCACTAACATAGGAGAAGCTGAAGCTAAAGTACTAAGAGCTGAGAACACAATCATTCCAATCAATTCATGCCATGAGAAGCCGCAAAGTCCAATTCATTTGTCTAGGCAGACTGGCCGTCTGGCCCTACACTCCTACCAAAGATTTGTCCTGCAACTTCCTACTGTCATCAGATAAAAGAACCTTACACTCTCGGAAGTAATAAAAGAACAGGAGTGGCAAATTATAGAGCTTGTAACATGTGGAAAACGAAGGCATATCATAAGTATCTTCAGCTGCCATGAAACCTGACTGATTTTGGGTCTATTGGTGCCGCTCTGGACACTGCAGCGTACAGAGCTGGACAAAGAGGAGTCGTTTTGGGCATCGAATAGAGGAGCTGGAGCTGTTTTTGGCGTACCGAGGCGAAGCTGCTATTTGAGGCTCCGGCTCCAGCAGTGGAGCGGGTGGAGTTGGAGCCACACCAAACACGACCTTTCTGTATGTAGCTTCTTTTCCTCCTATTTCTACTGCAGCTTCCATGAAACCTGACTGATTCATTGCAGTGTCTGCCTGCTATAGGACAAAGGAGGCAAACAAAAGCAGTAGTTAAAAGAAGCAATGGGACCATGCATCACTAATAATTGCATCAAAGGAGCAGGTAGAACTGCCTTGTTAGACCCATACATTATTTCCAGAAATAGAACACACTTAATTAAGTAGAATGATCAGTTAGTGCAACCACATGAATACAACAAATTCATTGATGATACAGAAAAACTGTAGGTAAAATTTGCCAATATAGAACTTGTACTCTGCACAAAGAAATTACAGAAGTGATATCTTAGTGCAAATTATCAACAAGTAAAAAGGCCTCAGTACCTCACCACAGAACTACTAATCATAAAACTGATAAAACTATTTTTCCCGATCACCCATGTGTTTCCAGCTTCCAGTAATGATGTACAATGCAATCCTTGCATCTTGTTAAAATATATTTCAGTCAAATTGGTTCATTGTGTAAAACCAAAAATAGGCGTTAAAGAAAATTTGCAACCAACTTAAAAGGTCAGAAGAACCCATGCATCACACAAGTCCTATAAGCAAATCTGTAGAAAACATGTGCAGAATGCAAAGAAAGCAAGCATGTAGCATAGGGAAAACAAGTTGCAATGCAGACCTAAAACCATAAATGCTCAGTCTTAGTTGTAGCTTTTCTACATACCTAACTGATGAGCTAATCCAGTTGTCAGTGTACGTGTGAAACTTGCCCAAAAAATATTTTTGGAACATTTTCTAATGTGACATACCTAACTGATGAACTGATCCCAACATTTGTCTCTCTTGTTTGATGGGAAAAGGGTCCAAATTGCAAGCTTTTTTATTTTATAAATTAAATGCAGAGTGAATGAACGATGAAAATAGAACAGTGAAAAAGACTGAGTTGTTTGGAACAATAGAGTTGTCCATATGACGCGGCACATAAATTGTTTGATGATACTAATTTGACGCAAGCTAAATAAACAAATTATATAATGATGCAGGCTAAATAGCTTAGAACAGTTCACAATGATAAAAGAGACCACTATAAAGTCAAAAAAGACAGATTCTAGGAAAAGAATTTGACACATATCAATGCTGTCGTCACAAAGTTTCAGCATCTCGTAGCTACCCCACAGTTCTAAAATACAACACACTATCTTTCAAAAAATAAAAATACAACCCCCTTTATCATATATAACAAATTGAAAGCCTTATGATGAACTGTTAGAGTACGTCAGGGGCCAGATTGTTATGTGGCTGGAGGATTGAGAGGGAGAGGCGAGGGGAGCGACGGCGGCTGACGTGATACAGTACCCGCGGGTACTGTTCACAGCTAGGGCTGCGAGGGTGAGAGAGAGCCGGCCGCGGGGCGTTTGCCCACGGCCGGGCAAGAGGGAAGAGTTTTCTTCTTAATTCTTGCTTGATTAGATCGATACATCTCCTCTCCTTATATAGAGAGGTTTACTTGACTCCCAAGCAAGACTTACTTGACTCTTAAGTAAGCGACCCTTATCTCTAATTAACCCTAACACTAATGGGCTATACAGCCAACCCAGGCCCAATAGGCCCCTGACGTACTCTAACACTACACCCTACCTGGACATACAGCTCGTCCTCGAGCTGCAACCTAACGATCTTATAACGCTGACTCGACTCCTAATACCTAAAAACAAACTTTTTACATCTTGGCTTATTTTATTATTCTCAACATGAAATAGATTGGGACTCTTTATTTTTGACTCTGAACATAAGGTGGACACCATCCACCTTCTGGATCCCATGGACACCATCTAGACGAAAGGGGTGCATGTGTATGGCCACCTAGAAGTGGTCGCAACAGCGACCATGCGACGGCGCTACGTGGTGCGCTCTCGCTGGTGACCCCACACCTTCTCCCCGCCAGACGGCTGCTGGTCTGCACCGCACAGAGAAGAGCGGAGGGCTTCCGATGGAGAACGAGGTATGTGAACAGTACCCGCGGACACTGTAGCTCCACGGTACTGTAGCACGCCCGCTCATCTCCATCCCAACTGGCCACATAACAATCTGGTACCAGAGATCTCGGTTCCGATGTCGACCTCGCTACCCACCTCCACCACTCCGCCGCCGGCCACCAACGCCTTCTCGCAGATGCCTGACCCGCGGACGTCCCAGCCGGTTCTGCCCGCGGGAACCCTGTCGCTCGTTCCCGAGACCTCGCTGTCGATGGCCACGGGGGCGTCTCCCTCCGCCATTGGCGTCATGTCGAACGCCGAATTGATGGCAGCGGTGCTCGACCTCGGCAAGATGGTGGCCGAGATTCATGCGTTCCTTTTGGGACCGCAAGGACCGCAGCCGATCCCACCGCCGCCGCCCACGCAGCAGCAACTGCCGCCGCCACCGCTTCCGGCTTGGATCGCCGGTTTGTCGAAACCCATCTACACGCCGCTCCCGACCACCGGGGCTGTCATGGCGCATGGCGGCGCCTTGGCTCCGGGCGTCCTCTACGGCGGGGTGGACGGCCCCCTGTTCCACGGCGGCAGCCTGATGCCGACGCTCTCCGCCGCGTCGCCCTCGTTGGACAGCACGGGCGCGGCGCCCTCGGCCTCCGCATAGGACCCGCCGCCAATTGCGCTTAGCTGCGCGGAGGACCTCGATCTCGTCTGCTGCGTCGGGGATCTCGGGCTTGTGGTTTCCCCCATGGGCGGCGGGCATGCTATTTTCCCTGCGGGCAGCAGTTGGGGAGGGGCATCCCTCCACCTCGTTCTCCATCGGAAGCCCTCCGCTCTTCTCTATGCGGTGCAGACCAGCAGCCGTCTGGCGGGGAGAAGGTGTGGGGTCACCAGCGAGAGCGCACCGCGTAGCGCCGTTGCATGGTCGCTGTTGCGACCACTTCTAGGTGGCCATACACATGCACCCCTTTCGTCTAGATGGTGTCCATGGGATCCAGGAGGCGGATGGTGTCCACCTTATGTTCAAGAGTCAAAAATAAAGAGTCACAATCTATTTCAGGTTGAGAATAATAAAATAAGCCAAGATGTAAAAGACTTGTTTTTAGGTGTTAGGAGTCGAGTCAGCGTTATAAGTTCGTTAGGTTGCAGCTCGAGGACGAGCTGCATGTCCAGGTGGGGTGTAGTGTTAGAGTACGTCAGGGGCCTATTAGACCTGGATTGGCTGTATAGCCCATTAGTGTTATGGTTAATTAGAGATAAGGATTGCTTACTTAAGGGTCAAGTAAGCCTTGCTTGGGAGTCAAGTAAACCTCTCTATATAAGGAGAGAAGATGTATCGATCTAATCAAGCAAGAATTAAGAAGGAAACCTTTCCCTCTTGCCCGGCCGTGGGCAAACGCCCCGCGGCCGGCTCTCTCTCACCCTCGCAGCCCTAGCCGTGAACAGCATTTCAGGGAACAGTATTTCCAGTCTTCAAGTTAAGGAATGACTAACACATACTAATTTTCAGCATCATAATTGTTTTTCAGAAATAATATATGACCTGTTATTGCTGCCCTCATATATTGTTTTTTTAGTATCCATCAAAATACTACCTCAGCGCATCACATATTAAGCATGAGCAAGAGCGGATACTAATTTTCTAAAATATCTAAAATAACTTGTTCAATACTTGGTTATGTCTTAATGTTTGGTAAACCGTCTATGCATCACTTCAAAAGCAAGATGATGTAGTACAAAACTGCTACTCAACAAGGGCAATAGGAGGCTTGATCATCCTCCTTCCTTGATTACAATGAACCATACAAATTTGACCAAAGCGATTCAGAACAAAAGAAATAGAATCCATGAACCTAAGGTCAGAGTATAGTCTTGGTTGAATTAAAGACCCCAGGACGCTGTCTTGCAATGGTTTTAAAAAAAATGGTCAGAAAAACTCTGAACTATATATGAACCAAGCAAACTCTAGAACTATTTGTCTGCACATGATTGCTGTTCATTGGCCAAGAATGGGGGTAGAACCGTAGAAGGGATGGACCTGAGGCAGCTTTTCCTGAACGCTTCTTCTTGTTGTAGGTCCTCAAAACGGTTGTCAACACATGAAGGTGAGCGCGGATGGCAAAGAAAAAATTTATATCCTGAAATCTAGATGAAGCTTTCGTATGTACATACAATGAATTACACTAATACAAAGAAAAACATGCAGCCTGCATGAAACATTGAAACCTCAAAATTTTCATTTCCTATTATTTAAGTGTCTCCTTATCTGATACTTTGTTAGTGAAAAAGTTCCATCAAGAGTCAATGGATGGTTGATAGACAAAGTTATTTTTCAAGTGCAGTTTGATCAATTGTTTTTGCTTGTATGGCATGGAAAGCACATAATTTGTGGTGGCTAATGATATAGGCCGATCATACATCGGGGGAAGTGCAGAGTCATGTTTTTTTTGCCATATCCAAAGCAAGTGATAAAAATTTTACGACTGTTATGCAGCTTGCATGAAACATTGAAACCTCAAAATTTTCATTTCCTATTTAAGTGTCTCCTTATCTGTTACTTTAGTACATGACAGATCATATGAGAAACTCAACCAACCTATGTGTGGCTCCTCCTGTGGGGTGGGGTGTCGTCGTCGTTCCACTCGGCAGGGCAGCCATGCGTGTGTCGATGAGGCAAAGTTCAGCTAGGCGCTAGGCGAAATCTAGGCGCTGACCCATTGCCTAGCGCCTAGTCGGGAGTAATCGGTCCTAGGCGCTCCTAGGCGTTTTCCTAGGCGTTTTGGCAATATAGCCATAAATTATATATATATTATGTATATAACTATAAAAAGAGAGCTAGTAGACATATCTGATTCCTAGCTGGCTTAGTTTTGCATGTTCCTAGCTCCTGCAACCCATTTTGACAGCTACTAGTTAGTAAATTAGTCAATAGACAACTAGCTGTTCATTAAAAAAAATATAAATGACTTATCAAAACACTACGAAAATATCAGCGTCGTGCAGCTAGCCAGCTAGTACAATAAGACGCGGCGAAAGCACTATCTTGCAGTGGCAGCCTAGCACACGAGGCGAGCCCCCCGAGCGCTCTGCATCATCCCGTCCTCTCCCTCTCGCCCTCCTCGCGCTCTCGCCACTTGCTCCAACTCCAGCCAGCGCGCGCGCAGGCACACCCACCGCACCGCACCGCACCGAGGAGGCGAAGGAGAGCGGGAGGCCATGACCATGAGACGCGGGACGAGGGCGCCATGCGCGCTGCTGCTCTGCGCGGCCGTGCACTTCCAGGGCCCTTCCTGCCTCGCCGGTGGAGGAGGCGGCGGTGCCAGGGGTGGAAGCGTCGGAAGCGGTGGTGGAGGCGGCGGCGGCGGTGGCTCCGGCTCCGGGCCTGGCGGCGTCGGCGCGAGGGGTTCCAGTCGAGGACGAGCAGGACGGCGGCGGCGAGTCGACGACGAGCAGGACCGGCGGCGCGCGAGTTGGGGACGAGCAGGGGAGGAGCAGAGGAGGAGCAGGACCGGCGGGAGGAGCAGGACCGGCGGGATCTGGCCGCGCGGGAATCCCTTCTAATCCTCCCGCGGCTGGGTCTCGTGGCCGCGCGCGGGCCTCCGCGCCGCCTAGCGCCGCGATGCTCGACTATGCCCCTAGTCGCGGCGACGGGCTTCGCCCAACGACTAGGCGCGCGTAGTCGCCGAGTAGTCGCCGCCTAGCCGAACCTTGCAATGAGGCGAGGTCCTCCGCTACTGACTTGTCTGCTCGGTAGGCCAGCAAACACCGAGCAGCCAAGACAGGACTGGATGGTCACAAGCTGAAGGAATCAAAAAATTAATAGTACTGCCAGGAACAGAACAAAGGAACAATTAATAAAAATACAGTCCTGTTCTTGCTAAGAAAAAGGCAGTCCAATTTAAATAGCAATGTTCCAGTTTCATGTGCAGCTATATATAACAGTGTACAGAGCATCCGAAAGATATATCCAAATTTTTTTCTATGTAATTATATGTATCTTAGTCTCTTAGATGCAGATAAGTGCATATATTGTATACAACCGTGTTTTCTGTAGTTAGATTGACATCCATGGAAGTTTTAGGTCACCAGGCACTGTACATGTCCACAAGATGTTCCAAAGTATCTTACCAGAACCAGGTGGAAAGGATTGGAAGATACACCTTTCGGGGTCAGAAATAGGCACAAAAGAATGAAAGTGAACCCCACCCATGATGGGACTAGCCAGTCATGAACATAAAAAAAAATGCCAGACAAATTGACAGAAGCCTGCACTTTCTCATTCAGAGCAAAAGGCTACTACAGTTACAAACTTTAGCAATCACCATGCTGTGTTTCAGACCTAGCTAGCTGCTACCTGGAATGAACTTCTCAAGATCAGATATAATGCAGATTGTTTTAGTACATTATCCCAAGAAGAGCAAACACTACTTTTATTTATTATTGTTCAGATGGGTTTGCCTCCCCAGGTCAGATGGGCAGAGTTGCTGCCGCCTTCGTCTTTGGCTTGTTCTCTTCCTTGACCTCCAGCAGCATCGTCACCACGGACCTCATTGGTGGTCGTTTGATTGGAAGTTTTGAGACACAGAGCAGTGCAATTTTCAGAACCTTGCACATTTCATCCTTGAACTGCTCAGCGAGGTTCTGATCAAGCACAGACTCTAGCCCGTTCTGCTCAATGCTGGCAGATACCCACGCCACCAGGTCCATCTCGCCAATCTCTGCTGCCATCGGCTTCTTTCCGGTAACAAGCTCAAGGATCACCACACCAAAGCTATAGATGTCACTCTTTTCAGTGACATGGAGAGTGTAAGCATACTCTGCAATGCATAACAGATCAGTCAGGCATTAGAACTCGTAATATGCAATATATGTTAGCTCTAACCTGTAGCTTCACTTTACTAGAATACTACTTTTCAAAAACTGTATAGAGCAACAATAGAAAAGATAAAGGATAAAGTAAAAAGCTGAGGCACAACAACTTAAGTAAACATGCAGAACTACAGTTAGGCATCAGCAACTAACCAGGAGCGATATATCCACAAGACCCTGCAATGATGGACATCGTAGCCAGGCCATCCCCAATAGCCTTTGCAACACCAAAATCGGCAACCTTGGCACCATACTCGGCATCAAGCAAGATGTTGTTTGACTTCACATCTCGATGGACGATTGGGGGCTTACAGTCATGGTGCAAGTATGAGAGTCCTTCAGCAGCGTTAACAGCAATCTTATACCTCATGGGCCAATCCAAGATGATGCGTTTCGCACTGTGCAGCATATCCCCCAGGCTACCATTTGTCATGTACTCATAGACAAGCAACCTGCTGACACTGTTTGTGATGCTGCATGCAAGCTTTACAATGTTCCTGTGCCGAACTTTGCTTAGCGTTGCAACCTCAGCCTCAAATGAGTCTATCCTTTTGCTTGCCACACCACTAGGCCAGAGTTTCTTGACAGCCATGGCCTCACCTTGAGGCCCAACAACCACCTTGTACACCTTGCCTGCACCGCCCTCGCCAATCACATTGCTCTCATCAAGGCTATTGACAATGGCCCTCTCACTGAAATCCACCCTGTGGAAGGATGTCAGCACCCAACTAGATTTCCCATCATCCAATTCAGCAGCACTCATCTTGTGCATCCTGCACTTGTAGCTGAACCAAGCGATGCCAATGAGTAGGATGAACCCACCAACACCTATGATGGAGACCACCGTCTTGATAATCTTGCTCCGTCTGGCATCGGAATCGTCATTGCTCTGACAGAACCCATAGCACAGGCCAGGGTTGCCCAAGAAGCTGTCCTGGTACTGTAAGCCATTGAAGAAACTGGGTAAAGGCCCTGAGAGCTTGTTATAGGATATGTTGAAACGAGCTAGCTTGAGATTCCCCAACTGCACAGGCAACTGACCAGAAAGCTCATTGTTTGACAAATCCAGCGTATTTATCTCGACGATCTCCCCAAGCTCCGGAGGGACATTCCCAGTGAGGTGGTTATCTGAAAGGTCCAACTGTGACAGTTTCTTCAGCTTACTAAAATCCCCTGGGATCTCTCCAGAGAGAGAATTGTTGCTCAGATCAAGATTGTAAAGCAATGAAAGCTTGGCAATCGACCGAGGTATGGGTCCAGTGAAACCATTGTTGGAGGCCTTGAACTCTTGCAGGCTGTCCAAGGTCCCCAGCTCGGTAGGCAGAGTACCAGTGAACCGGTTGTCCTGTAGGAGCAGCGTGGATAGGTTCTTGGCACTGGCAATGGCAGGATCAACCGTCCCTGACAGTGCATTCTCACGAAGCTCTAGCAAGTAGACATTGGGCAATCCCCAAAATTTTGGTGGCACTGGGCCAGACAACCTGTTGCTCTGCAGCCGCACCCTCACGAGTGACCGGCATTGCCCCAGTTCAACAGGAATGGGGCCCTCAAACTCATTGTCCAGCAACATGAGCTGGTTTAGTTTCCCGAAAGCACAAAGCGTCGCCGGAATCGGACCCGACAGCCGGTTGTCCGACATGTCCAGGAATCCGATCGGGCAATTCTTCCCAAACTCCGGCGGCAACGGCCCTGAAAACTGGTTGCTGAAAATCCTCAGGTCAGACAGACTTGGCGCCGCCGTCCCCAGCGTCACTGGCAAGGGACCGGACAGATTGTTCTGGTACACGTGCACACTTGCAAGCCTCGGCGCCGTGAACATGTCCTCCGGTATCTCCCCGGTGAGCCGGTTCATGGAGAAGTCCAGCGAATGCAGCTTCTCGAGGCCTCCTAGACCCACGGGAATAGTACCGGAGAGCTGGTTCGAGAAGAGTTCGATCTGCTCCAAAGAACTCAGATTCCCAATGCTTGATGGTATCTCACCGGATAAGTTGTTCGACGAAAGGTCCAGATTGACGAGATTCTTGAGCTTCCCGATGGAAGAGGGGATGGTACCGTTGAGGGAGCAGTTGGCGATGAACAGCACAAGGAGGCCGGGTAGGTCGAAGAACTTCTCCGGCAATGGCGACGGAGCGAAGGGGTTGTAGGCGAGTTGGAGCTCCTGGAGGCCGGTGAGGTTGGCCAAGAACGCCGGGAACTCGCCCGAGAGCATGTTCTGGACCAGGTTCAGCACAGCAAGCGAGCGGAACCCGGTGCCCCACGACGGCGGGACTTGGCCGGAGAAGTTGTTCCCGGCGAGGTTGAGGTGGATGAGCGCCGGGAGCGCCGCGACGCAGGCCGGCAGCGGGCCCATGAGTTGGTTCGCGGAGAGGTCGAGGTGCTCCAGGGACCGCAAGGAGCAGAGCGCGGCGGGAAAGGCGCCGCCGAGGGTGAGATTGTAAAGATTAACCCCCGCAACGGCCGCCGTGGAGTTCTCGGCGCAAGAGACGTGCGCCCAGCGGCACGGGGAGCTGCGGTTGGTGGCGGCGGCCCAGCCGGCGAGCTCGCCGGTGGGGTCGTGGAGCGCGAACCTGACGGCGATGAGGTGTTTGGTGTCGGAGGAGGCGCCCGCAATGGCTTGGAGCAGGAGCAGCAGGAACGCGAGGAGGCAGCGGGTGGCATCCATGGCTGGCGGTGGCGGTGGCGGTGGTGAGCGAGTGGAGAGAGCGGAGAGTGGCCGAGTGGACAGGTTTTCAGGAGGGAGTTACCTTTTGGTCACAGAATTGGAAGGCTCCATGGTTTGCTCTTATAGATGGAAGAGAAGTGCTGAGGGTGATTTTGCTAGGGGAACACTAACGGAGGAACACCCAGATAGGCCCTGAGTAACAAACATGTCACCAAACGCATCTATTGAGATAATTCTACCGAGATGGCTCACGATGAGTGGGTAGATGTATCACTAATGAAATGGTGCGGTGTGCCGAGCAATTGGAATTCAGGAGGGAACACTTTTCACAAGTAAATCAGCGCGACACAGTTGTCGTTGGGTAATTAATCGCATTCCATCCTTGTTTTGGTCAATGTAGTCGTCGGTAATTAACCGTCTCCCATCCTTGTTGGGTCAAAATAGCCATTTGTCGGCATCGAAAATGTTACCGATGGACTTATGAAAGTAGCGACAAGTGACATTAGCAATGGACCAAGCATTTGGATATGCCTATATTTATAGTAGGTTGACGGCATGGTTCAAGTAACCGATGATCTGGTTGTCGAAACTCAAAGTTAAGAAATTTTCAAATCGCGGCAAAATGGATGGCACATTCTTTGTAGCATGTCATTTGTCGTACTTAAAGTCCATTTACCATGGTTTTACCATGAGAACAAATGAGCAAATTGATCTTTATATTGTTACGGCTAGGTAAATAAACCCAGCAGCTAGTTTTGCCAAGGAACAACCTTTGGTGTGCTCAATCCTGTGTAGCCTTAGCCGGTCACAGGGAGTCCCCACAAGAGATCAGTTCTGAGAAATGCGGGAGCATAGTGGCCTGGTGAGAAGGCCCCTCACCCTACTCTCTTTCTTGCGGACTCCAGGGGTATCCGTAGCAGCACCCAGGAAACGAGTTCTTGCCCGGGTTGGTTCGGCAGTGCACGAGAACCGAAGCGGCCTCTAGCCAGAGGATAGAGAGAGAGTGTGACAGTCTGACAGAGAAGCCAGTCAGCCAGAGCCAGCCGGCCGCCATTGGTGTCCAGTCCAGGTGTAAAAGTCTCTCTCGCGTGGCATGGTCCCGATGGACGAGGCTACTGAAGGGAAAAGGAGGAAAACTTATGGCATGGCATTTGGCTTCTTCCCGGCTGCAAATGCAAACTGCTGCTTCCCCCGCCTTCAAACAAAAACGATCTGTTAGCTGTTTGTCACTGCCCCGGCCTCTTCCTTCCTTCCGACGGCTACGCTCACGCCTCGGCCTCACGCCTCACGCCTCACGCAGTGGTTGGCAGCGCGCTACTCTCTGCCGTCCAGCCGATGTGCAACTGAAGCGTTTCTTCCGGGAGAGCGGTGCTGGCGGTGGGCTGGAAATCGGTGGGCGCCGCCAGTTTTTGGCTGGCGGCTGCCCTCCACGGACCGCGCGCGCGTGGTGGAGCATGGCGCGGCGAGGGCTGGGACAAAGCGAGCGGTTGGGCCGGGCACGGCGCGTGCATGATGCAGCCAGGCTTCGGCGGAGCCCGACGCGGGTGACTCTCTGCCGGCTTTTGTGCGGGTGCGGGCGGGGCTGAGTTGGAAAGTTTTGGAATGGTATGTGCCACGCCATCGATCGGCTGGCAGGAAACGTGAGGGCCGAGGACCTCCCGGCCGCCGGTTTTTGGACGGCGTCGCGCGCGGTGCGCCCCGCGCCAGGCAGGCTACCTAGGGTGCAGCGCGTGAGGATCCGAACCGCCGCCCGGGAGAACGCGCGCAGCGCCCGGGGAGGTTAGGCCTGGCCCCCGGGAACGGACGCCGAGAAGCTGGCGGGCGGGCGCAGCGCGGTGCAGTGCGGTGCGTGCTCGGCGTGGCAGGCCGGAGCTTGCATGCCTCGGCACGCCATCGGCCGGCCGGAGTGCTAAACGGCAAGCAAGTGCCACCACTACTTTGCAGCCATCGGTTCATTTGATACAGCCCGATGCGTTTCCACGGCTTTCCTGCAGACGCACAAGTTCTAAAGCCGCTTTAACTAGAGATGCAAAGATCGCGGATGAACTTCACCTAAATCTGAGTAGCTAGTGTGAAAACACCACTGCTCCAGATTTACTTGCCATACAACGCTGATATTTCGTAGGCAAACCAGTAATAAATCTACATAGATTCGCTCGTGCATGCAGCCATAATAACTTCACATGCTGGCAACTCAAAACAGAATCTAAGAGGAAAGACAAATCAGGCGTAACAAATTGAAGAAACAAATCAATATGCATAAGGCTGGGTTTAAATTCGCCAAAA